TGATTTAGCAGATTATCCCCTATTTTTCTGTATACATGTATAAAGAAGACCACAGAATTATATTGCAATGAAATTAAAAATTAAGTCAGATCCAAAGCAGCTCTATGGTGAGCTTATAAATGTGTGTGCAGAGGGTATTTAATAAAAATTGGAGCAAAAGCAAATAAACAAAGGGGGGAAGATATTAATTTGTTATATTTTAAACTTTACAACTTAAAAAAAGAAAATATGTTAAATCATGTACCTAATAGATCTATTGATCTAATTAATCTCCAAAAAAAAAGACTAAAGAAGAAGAAATTAAAAGGTTTTGTTGGAAATTAGAAAAGTTAAAACACTGACTTGTATTCATGTCCAACAGCAAGGGTGGTGGCCAACATATCCTAGCTGATTGGTTCCCCATAAGCAAAGGTACAAGACATGGGTGCCTGTTGTCACCCCCTGTTATACATATTATCGATTGAATCATTAGCTTTAGAAATAAGGGATAATTTTAAAATAAAAGGATGTTATATTGGCCAAGAAGAATACAAGATTAGTCTATATGCCATCGACATCTTGATAACTGTAACAGACCCACTAGAATCACTGAGGGCTCTGATGAGCTTGTTTCATGATTGTATGTCTGTCTCAAACTATAAATTGAACATAGAAAAAACATGATTTTATAAAAAAATGGGATGAAAGAGGTTTTGGCTGCCTGCCGAAGGGAATTTAGTTGAAAATAGGTAAATAAAGAATTGAATGATCAACACCTCACTATTACTTCAGACCCAAAATATATCATGGGAAAAAAATGTATGAAAGTTCTAAAATAAGCAAATAACATGTATAAACAATGGAAATATCTACCTCTATCATGGTTGGGTAGGATTAATGCTTTTAAATCTTATATTCTACTGAAATGGACATACATTTTTAGCCATATACCACTGAATGTACTTGATATTTGGTTAAATTTAGCACAGTCTTACGCTACCAAATTTATATGGTCAGGTAAAAAAAACGAGATTTAGCAAGAAAATCCTAACCTTAAAAATTTAAAAAAGGAGGTTTAGGTCTGCCAGTTATAAGACAGACATATGAGGCAAACTCCTTATACCATATGTATATGATGCACAATGAAGGTAGCTTTCAAGAGCCCTGGTATAAAATGGAATGTGAAATAATAGGCAAGATGAAACAAACACAGTTAATATGGAGTAATATTATACAGGGACCATGTAATATAAAGAATATGCAAGATATAATTATATATACTCTATTAAAATCGTGGCATAAATTAAAATCTAAGTTGGGATTAAAAAATAAAATTATTAAAACATTAAATATTGAAACAATATCAGACAATATGAAAGATATAATGTTAAAAAGCTGGACAGAGAGGGGTATTGATAAAATTGAAAAATTAATGGAGGGTCAAAATATAGAAACCTTTGCCAGCTTAGTTGAAGAATTCAAGATGCAGAATTAAGAGTTTTTTAAAAATATTTAAGGGTTAAAAATGATTTAAATAACACATTAAACATGGTACGAGATAGAAATACAGAAATGAAGGAGAAGCAACCGTTAAGAAAGAGAGCAAATCCCCACAAAACCAGTACCCCTACCAGTACCCCCACCAGCACCCCCACTAGAATAATATAGATACATTTGCAAAAAACTATGTATCAGACAAGGTACAAAAAATAATAAAGTTTTATTAATGGTAAACATACGAGATAGTTTAATATTAAGGATTGAATATTTATTTAGGGGGACAAAGATAGACAAAGCACTTTCCGTTTGTAATAAAATATTAATATAAACACAAAAAACAATACAAATCATGGCAATTAAAACAAGGAAAGATGACTTAAAAATCAATATTCCATTAGAAGCATGGCACCATGTTTTAAATATTACTAATAAATATATTCACTGTGTAAGTTTACAAGAAAATATATATAAGGTAATGAACAGATGGTATTAGCGCCCAATTAAAGGCAATATTTCCACAAAGTTCAGATATATGCTGGAGATGTGAGATAAATAAAGGATCATATATGCACATATGGTGGGAGTGTCCGGGGGTAAGAGAGTTTTGGAACATCTCCTTTGGACTTTTAAGAACATTAAGAGTTTCACTGGTAAATACCAAACCTGACAGATAAATACCTGGTGTTAATAATTCACATGTTGATGGCTAAAATATAACATTAGAAGCAAAGACATAACCTTGGACAATACTATACAAAAGAAGAAAAGAGAAAAGAAAAGGAAAACTAGAGGAAATAAAGGGGAAATGTAAAAAAATACATACCCTATTAGTAAGCACTGAGCAAAATGTAATGTAATGTTACATGTATGTAATAATATGTAAAGTATTTATTATAAAATATATTTTGATCCTATCCTTTAACAAAGACTTACCTAATTTAAAAGCAAGCTAAATAATTGGATTTGGGTTGTAATTTTATTATATTTGCAAAGAACATTGTGGTAGCAGGATCAATAGTTAACTATTTCTTTGTGAGTTAGATGATTAATAGTGTGAGTTCTTCTGAGTGATTCTCTCAGTGATAAAAGGGACACTATAGTCACCCGAACAACTATAGCTTAATGTAGTTGTTTTGGTGAGTATAGTCAGTCCCTGTAGGTAGCAGATGGCTACTAGAGGTGCTTCCTTGGGCCTTGATGCACAGTGTGACCGACATTGAGGATCTCCACCCTCTGCATTAAGACGCTGAACTTTCCTCAAAGAGATGCATTGATTCAATGCATCTATATGAGGAAATGCTGATTGGCCAGGGTGGTGTATGGCTCTGCCCCATCCCCTCTCCTTGGTGAGATAATCAGAATTGACAATCTCAGCCAATCCAAAGTCTTTGCACAGGAAAGCATTGTGATTGGTGATATCATCACTTCCGATAATGTCAGACGGGATAGGGGCAGAGCCAGAACCAGAACCAGGTATGGTTTTACTATGTTTGGTAGGGGGTGTACTGTGCACAGGGCTAGATAGTGTTTTTAACACAATAGGGTTAGGATTACATGTTTGTGCTCCTAACCTCCTAGTGTTCCTTTAAAGATCTCTTGTTATAAGTAAAACTTGTAGAGCATTATCCACATCTGATATATTGAAATTGTCTGTCTATATCTGTGTTAAATGCATTTCATTTTTTGTTTATATGAATGTAGGAGAATTTCATGAACAAGTCAAATATAGAGGCATTCTTGATAATTGGATTTGAGAACATCCAAAATGTCAAAATTTTACTCTTTATTTTTTTCCTGATAATTTATCTTGTGACATTATCTGCAAATATAATGGTTATCTCAATGGTATCTATGTGTAGATACATTGTCTCTCCCATGTACTTCTTCCTCGGCCATCTTTCTTTCAATGACATGATCATCATCACAAACATTGTTCCTGAAATGCTTTATATTATATTAAGAGAAGAAGGTACCATATCCTTTGCTGGCTGCTTCACTCAAATTTACTTCTTCATCCAATCAACTGCTACTGAGTGCCTGCTTCTCACTGTAATGTCCTACGATCGATATTTGGGCATCTGTAACCCACTAAGGTATTCTTCTGTCATGGACTTGAAACTTTGTTCTTCCCTTGTAACTTTATCTTGGGGACTTGGAATACTGGCTGCATTACCACATAATGTTATTTTAAGCCAAATGACATTTTGTGGGTTAAAAGTTGTTAACCATTTTTTCTGTGATTTGATACCAGTTCTCAGAGTATCTTGTTCTGGCTCATTAGCTAATGATCTTGTAATCATTGTATTGTCTGTTCCATTAACATTTGTCCCGATACTTTTTATCACTGTGACATATATCAACATTTTTCTTGTAATTATCCGGATCTCCACCACCACTGGGAAACAGAAAGCCTTCTCTACCTGCAGCTCCCACCTGACTGTTGTATGTCTATATTATAGGACATTAGTATTTAATTATATTGTCCCATCTAAAGAAGAATACTTGGGTTTACAAAAACTGATTTCTGTGCTTTACACTATTGTGACCCCGTTATTAAACCCCATTATATACAGTCTGAGAAATGAGCAGTTTAAAGGAGCAATAATTCAATTTATTTTGAAGCGAAAAGGTGAAAAATAAAGATCGAACTATATTTACTGCAAATATTTACTTTAAATAACATAATAATGTATTTAAACATTTTAAACACAAAAGCAGAATTTATCATATTTAGATATAAATAAATATGTAGAAGTCCATAGTCCTGAATTCGTGGGAGGAGTTTGTCCTATAAAACGCAATCCCCCCTGCTTACCTGCGCCGTTATTTTCAATCGAGTTACGTGATATCCATGGCAACCTGCACTTCCGGTCAACTTACACTTCCGGTAATGTCCAGCCCGCGCTGCTGCTAAACGGTCTCCGCTCTTGTTGCGGCCTACATCGACTCCAGGCCAGCCTCATCATTCCCGACCTCTGGCTCCACTATAGCAACTTGCCATCTTCCGGACATGAGACCCGAGACGTATACATATGTACACGTCGGGAACAACTGTTTGGTTATTCCCATGTCCGGGCCTTAAAAATGCAAGGATTGGCTCCCTTCTATCATGTTTTTGTTTGTTTGCATTCATATATTTAAATATGTTATTAATTTTCTTTCATTTAAATATTTACTTATTACAATTAATCATAGCATTCACTTGAATTTGTTTAAATATTATTACCTGTTTCATTCGTACACTTATCAAGTCATTCACATGAATTTGTTTAAATATCTATTGTATCATTCGTACATTTGACCATGTCATTTGCTTGAATTCATATAAATATTATTACTTGTCACAAAAAACCTTGTTAAACTCTGTTCGGGAGTCCCAGTGCGAACACCACGCAAAGTTTTGTCCTTATTTCAGGGTACAAATGTCCTCCCTGTTCGGTAGTTTCCATCTCCCGAACATCGTTCGCATAGTTGGTCAGGAAGTAGAATGGTCAGAGGTTTAATCTTTACTGGGCTTTGTGCAGTGGCGTACACATGACCCATGGGGCCCTGGTGCGAAAATTGATCCGTGGGCCCCCCCGCGCGCGCGGGCCGGGCCGCAACACATGGCGGTGGGCACCTGGTCGCATGGGTTACAGGGCTGCGACCCCTGCGACCGCGGTATGTACGCCAGTGCATGCAGATGCACACACACACTTAAAGGACCACTATAGTGCCAGGAAAACATGCTCGTTTTCCTGGCACTATAGTGCCCTGAGGGTGCCCCCACCCTCAGGGTCCCCCTCCCGCCCAGCTCTGGAAAGGGGAAAAGGGGTTAAACTTACCTTTTTCCAGCGCTGGGCGGGGAACTCTCCTCCTCCGATCCTCCTTCTCTCTTCCCCGTCGGCTGAATGCGCACGCGCGGCAAGAGCTGCGCGCGCATTCAGCCCGTCTCATAGGAAAGCATTCATGAAACTTCCCTATGGCACAGATGCTCTCACTGTGAAAATCACGAGTGAGGAAACGCATAGCGCCTCAAATATGTCAATCAATGAGACAGCCACTAGAGATTAGGGGGAAGGCTTAACCCATTCATAAACATAGCAGTTTCTCTGAAACTGCTATGTTTATAAAACAATGGGTTAAGCCTAGCTGGACCTGGCACCCAGACCACTTCATTAAGCTGAAGTGGTCTGGGTACCTAGAGTGGTCCTTTAAACAGACACCCAGATCACATCAGCTCAATGAAGTGGTCTGGGTGCCAGGTCCCTCTAGTTTTAACCCTGCAGCTGAAAACATAGCAGTTTCAGAGATTCACTGAGGGTTAATCCAGCCTATAGTGGCTGTCTCACTGACAGCCGCTAGAGGAGCACACTGAACGTCCATAGGAAAGCATTGAGTAATTGAATGCGTGTGCGGTCGCATTCGGAGCTGAGAGGCTGAGGGATCCCCAGCGCCAATGGAGTCCGGCGCTGGAGAAAGGTAAGTGCTGAAGACACACACACTCTCACTTACAGACGCATACACACTAGCTAACAGACACACACATTTACTGACAGACACACTCAGCGACAGACATACATACACACTAACTTACAAAACATACACTCATTGACAAACACACACTCACTAACAGACATCAAACAGACTCACTAACACACACACTCAGTAAGACACACACAGTAACACTCACTGACACTCACTAGCAGACACACTCACTCACTCTAACACTCACACTCACACACTCTAACACTCACACACTAACACTCACTAGCAGACACACACACACTAACACTCACTCTAACACTCACACACTCTCTAACACTCACACACACTCTAACACTCACACGCACTCTAACACTCACACACTCTCTAACACTCACACACTCTCTAACACTCACACACACTCTAACACTAACACATGTTTTTTTTTTTTTTAAATGTAATCCCCCCAGCCTCCTTACCTTTTGGAGTGTTGGGGGGATTCCATGGGGTCCAGTGGTGCTGCTGGGCTCCTGGGCGGGTAGCCGGTCGGGCAGGCGGGCGCGCTAGGAAGCACTGAGTGCTCCCTCGCGCGCCCACCCGTCCGGATGTCAGCAGGGCCAGCCTCGGGGGGCCCTGGGGTGGTCGGCTCCTGGGCCCCCAGGGGAAGAGGCTGGCCCTGTGGCTACACACCGTATGTACGCCACTGGCTTTGTGCTAGTGCCTGGCCGAAAAGAGTTTCAGGCACTCAACGACCAAGTGCCACTGTCCACATTTGGGAGAAAAAAATCGCAGCCGTTCTTTTGTCGACAACCTGCATTCGATTATACAAAATGCCGGCCACCCAGGGGAATCACACATTAATGACTTCCCTTGCGGTTTCGCACTTAGGTTGCTGGTGTGAATGTTTTTAATGGGGTACAGGGGTGGTCCTCGTTCAGGAGACGAATGAAGGAGGTTCGTATACAATAACTCCTGAACGGAAAAAGGCAAAACAGATGAACCGCATTAAATTAACTAAAGCTCAATTCTCGTTTACCTTGTAATACATTTCAGAGGGGCTTACCATTCATGGATTTTCTGTTCTAAACTCGAGTACAGAAATAAAGCTTTATGCTTAAACAGTTACGTGACAGGTACTATTAGGTTAATTTATGTGTTCACTTACAAACGACTAAAGCCCACTGGTAAGTCATTAATTGGGTTTACTGTTCATTATTTTGGCGACCCATTAGTGGGTTTAAAGTACATCCAGTTTCTAATTATACTATGTGGTGATTAATACCCTTTCTTAAAAATGTAATCTTTCAGGTATGATCCGTTCAGGTGAACCCTTTCATTACTCAATTCAGATTGTAGTACTGATCATCCTCCTGTTACAGTAATACTGCATTTGAAAACGTCATGTGGTGTTGAACGATCATTAGTTACGTTCAGATAAGTTGGTTACCAATCAAACATGTCTACGTCAATCACTATAAATACGATTCAGGGAAAAGCCATTAGAAGGTCTACTAAAAGATATGATAAACAACAGTTTCTCTATGAGTTTGAGAGTTTTTTCAGGTATTCAAACATTACTTTTTTCGTTTATGTTCATATCAAATAGCAAGGCCTCACTCTGCCTTCGTTATGACTACCGAATGCAATTCGAAACCCTTACATTAACAAGAGGCTTGTCTCTGCATGCCTGACCCTTGCAAGGTCCTCCATACGCATTCGATCATACGTTACACAATTCGATATAAAATCGAATGCTATACATAGTTTTACAATGTTCCTTTACGTTTCAAGAATATCCAACGGAATATTGACTTTCTGTCATGCTGTTTTTCTGTCTAGAAGTTTTACATCAATAGGCATATTAGGATACAGACAATTTGCATCCCAATACTAATAACATATTTATCATACTGACACACATCATCATTAAGTTTAAGACACAATCTGACTCTCTCCTCTTCATGTTCTGCTCATGAAAAGCTAATTTTTTCATTCTTTTAGTCACTGTATTTCCTTTTTATTTTTCGGTTCACATCACAATTGGTGGTTTCATAAGGTGCCATTTTCCAGTCTTTGTCTCTCTGATCCTATTCAGTTTGTGTACGCATGTACATTTACGTTCAGACTCATTCACAAATGAGACAAGCCACGTTTAGGGAAAGAGAACTGGCTTTTAGGGATAGGAGCTGACCTTAGTAAAAAATAAAATATTTAAATATTGGTCCCACGAGGTCAACTTCCCACCTCATCACGGAGGTTTCGCCTCACCTGTCACTGGGTAGTTAATTTCTTTGCCTACCGGCACTAGTGAGCAAGCCAGTTCTACATAAGGGATATTATCAATTTGCATCAAAGATTTTGCATGGTTACAGGATGTTGCAGAAATCATTCCAGGTGACGTTCTATCTCTAAACAATAATCCAAACCTGTCAGCCCAGGTAACCCAGCAGAACCCCTTGTCCCCGTCACTCGCCTGCACCTTTCTTAAATTTGGCAGTTTAACTAAAATCATGGAGGTGCCATCTTCCCGGCCATGGCTCGAAGGGCTGTATATACCCCGAACAAGCTGGTCATGCCCTAGAGTAGCTCAGACAAGTAATCCTGTTTACTCACTATATTGATCAACAGCCTCCCCCTTAGTACCTCAAAGAAGCCGCGATGTCCGACCAGCCGCAGCTCATTTAAATGTTTGTTATGCAAAAATTTTTTAGTTGATTCATTCAGGGCGAATTTCACTACTAGTACAAATTCTGCCTATTTCAGTCATTCATAGCTTCTCAACAATGCCACTTTCCACTTATGATATTAAGTCCTCTATAGACCACATAGACTGTAACGGCACCCACAGGCAAAAAAGGGTTAAACCGACATTTAGTAGATCTTCCCTTCCAGAGACACAGGCACAGCTACTGCAGAACACCAATCCACCGAACAGGAAACCATATGAATGCTGTAAACAGCCGAATAGGAAAAAAAATAGGTTTACACTCCTAGCAGTCAAACTGGAACAGCATACAATAAATCCCCCCAAGAACGAGACAAAGCTCCGTGTTGAGGGTCAAGCAGTGAACAGACAGAGCTGTGGGTTTATTGTTCTTATATACACATTAGTACCACCCACAGGGTTTTGGAACACAACCAATAAACACATACAATACACTCAGACACTCCCACACAAAAGCCTCCCCTCTTCATGTGATTCAATTACCTTACACAATGGGTAATGTAATTATAAAAATCAGAGAAGTACAATTTTTCATAACGTAAAAAGTATGCATCACATTCACATATAACTTACATTTTCAGAATCAGCATACTCCAAATACAAACATACGTCAAAATCATACAAATTGGTCAAGTGGTTCAAAAGATAGATCGTAGTCCTTTGTGACCAAAGGAAGCATGGCTTTTCTGTCCAAAACCAGTTCCACAGAGTCTTCTATCCTGGAGATAATTGGGAAGTAATCCAATTATCTCCAAGGACCGAGGCAAAACTCCATTGAACACATGGCAGCAAAAGACAATAAAACACATAAAAACATATAACTGTGCAGCCATTGCACAAAACAGGTACATGCAACATATCCCCAGATAGCTCAGATCTGAGCGCACATTATTACTGAATGGCGCTCAGAGCACACACATACAGTTCAACTGCCATGGAGCCAAAGTCTTTCCCATAGTCTTTCATTATACGAATGGGCTCCATGGCATAGCTATCTGGGGTATCACCGCTCAAACAGGGCAAGCACCAAATGACCCGGCTTTCATGTCTTTGCAGGGGAAAATCAAGCCTTTTAACATGGGGCCATAATCCAAAGGCAACAGTCGAGCAACCAGGCTTCTCCAATGCAATGTGGCGAGATTGGTCTCCCCTATTTAATCCCCAACTTGGCTAGATGTAAATTTTATGTCAGATTCAAACTTAGGCCTATACACATGGTTAAATAACTTGAATCTTAACTGGTATAAACATTCACCGTACACATTCACAAGTAAGCCCCACATAAGGCTTTTCTGCTAAATCAGGTTTTACTTTGAATTTAGTTATTTACTGAAAGGTTGTTAGTATTGCTTTACTTCCAATACATTTTTAAGCATGTTTACAATACTGCTGAACTTATCAGTCCAGGTTTCACATTCACCATATGTTCTTGTTGACATAGTTTTATTACCTACACAATTTCTGTTTTCTTCAATATCACTACTCTACCGGTTCTTAAACTATTCCACTCTCTGTTAAAAATTTAATGTACAAGTTGGCCTCGCTAGGTTCATCACTCCCTGTTTTGCAGGAGGAGTTCAGAGGATACTAATACCCCACCCTCCTATCTTGAATTCAATGACATTGTTTATAGAAAGTGGCTTAACTTTTTACTATTAAAGTATCTTTGTATTTACACCTCTCTTGCTAGCAAGCGTCAGGATTACCTATAGTCTC